GCTGTATTATAACGAGAGTACGATAGGGTCTCTCCTGAGCGGAGTCCTCATGCTAGGCACACGAGGAGCGGGTCCTCGGAGAATAACATTACACGACTACCAATATAGAAACTGGTTCTAAGAGTGGTTCCCGGAGTCATGGACCCTTCATGAATCAAATCGTGTAACAGGCTAGCTGCGTTACGATAGGATCTACGAAAAGGTCTATTCTGGAGGAGCTTTCATGCTAGGCACACAAGGAGCAAGTCCTTGGGGACTAACACTAATTACTACCAATTCTAAACTATGTTTTCTCTCTTCTTTTTCCAAAGCTCGGGTGTTAGAGCTTTACTTGCAATGCTATCCCCAAATCCAGCAGGTAGATATAATAAACAGCATACGATAGAAAGAGAAAACAAGAAATAAACAATAGGAGAAAATAAACATAAAGAAAACAGTTAAGCAAAAGGCTAGTACTCTCAAATCGAGTCAAGTTAGGCTTGACTCTTTCTTGCATAGGGCTATGCACGCTCCCCAGCAGAGTCGCCATCTGTCGTACCTCAAAAAATACGATCCTCGCGATGGCCGCGGAAAATACTGTTCGAAACAGAGTCGCCATCGAACTTTATTCATTCCAAGGATGGAATAGGAAAATATCGATAAAACCTTTAAAGAGATAAGAACATGGTCGTCGCAACCAATATTCTAGGTTCGGGAGTCGGTTACGCAGAGGGAAGGTATTAGCACCCTCTACGTCCGTTGTACTCAACGGGAACCTCTTGATCGATTCGAGAGTAAAGTCAACTGTGTTGTTCGTTTTCTTATAAGGTTTCTCCTATAGGGGGAATGGATGGTTATAGGATAGGGTGCTCGCCAAGGATTGGGGCCCTTGTGCCTACGTATCTTCACTTGTAAGAAGTGGAAAATCAGAGCATTCGTAGTTCGTGAGACTACGGGAAAAGAGGGGAAGTGTGGGGAATTGTGCTCGCCAAGATCATCGCAATCTTGTGCCTACGTATCTTACATTCGAAAGAGAATGAAGAATCAGAGCAGCCGTAGTTCGGCTAACTACGGTAAAAGGTTTGTGTTTGACGAACGAGTGTTTAGGACGCATTCTAACTGCTAAACAATGGCTTGTCTGCTCGCTAGGGGAGGCTAAAGCACTAGTTTGTTATGCGCGGAAGAAGGGACTAAACAATGTTCTTGGTCAAAGGTGTGTATGAGTCGAACGAGAATTTAGGTCGCATTCTAACTGCTAAACATTGGCTTGTCTGCTCGCTAGGGGAGGCTGAAGCACGAGTTTGTTATGCGCGGAAGAATGGACTAAACAATGTTCTTTGGAAAGAGTGTATGAGTTGGAAATCGCGCGAGGGCGAAGGATTTAGTGTTTGTCGCATTGGATGTTTTGGTTAGAGGATTTATTTAAATAGGTTTTAAGGTTTCGATTGCGCGGGGGCAAGAAATAGGAGTTAGGTAATTTGATGGAGAATGACGACTATTCGATAAACGAGACGTCGGTCTCGCTATCAATTAATCGGGATATTATTGGAATGCTAGATCCCAATAACACATTTTCATTTGAAAGATTCTACGAAATATGTTTGAGAAGGTCTCAATCGCACGGGGCGAGAGAAGAAAGTAGGGTTGAATATTTTAAGGGAGAATGACGACTACTCGATAAACTAGACGCCAGTCTCGCAATCGATTAATCGGGATATCATTGGAATGCTAGATCCCAATGATACCTTTTTCATTCAATTAATTGTGAAATTGTATTTGAATGGAAAATAACAATATTGGTCCAAGTAGTTAGGGCACGTGTTTTATAAACGAAAGGTTGAGCGAACCACAACCTAAAGCGTACGCCCTAAGAGTGGTTACTCAAGAATTCAACGAGTGCGAGACTCCAAGAACTCAGTTCTTTCGCAATTTAATTAAGAAAATGGTTTGAATTTGACGTATGGTTTAGATGTGTACTAGGGTTTAGACTCGATCGCACGAAGATGAGGAACGAGGTTAGACGAGTTGGAAATTTGGGAGGAATGACGACTACTCGATAATCGAGACGTCGGCCTCGTAATCAATTAGTCGGGATATTGTTGGAATGCTAGATCCCAACGACAACCTTTTTCATCCCATTAATTATAAAATAGTGTTTGTTGGACAGTGAATACTTTGTCCAAATAATTAAAGAAGGTATTTTAGAAACGAAAGTTTGAACGACACGCCATTCAAGGCGTACGCCTCAATGGTAGTCACTCTCGAATTCGAGGAATGCGCGACTCCAAGAACTCGACTCTTTCGTGATTTGATTTAGAAAAATAATTTGAATGGATTAGCGTACTCGGACTAGGCGTGCCATGTACTCTAGAAAATAAGATCGAAAGGGTCACAACTCGAGGTGTGCACCTCGAGAGCGGTTGCTTAAAAATTCAAGGAAGGCGAGATCCAAGAATTTAATTATTTTGAAATTTGATTTTGAAAAAAAAAGAGTTTAATTTAATTAAGAAAAATAGTTTTAGAAAAAATAAATTAATCATATAAAATAAATTAATCGATTGCAAAAAAAGTTTGAGAAAAACTAATCATAATTAATTGTTTTGAGAAAAAGTTTAATATCTTAAAGAAGATTTTAACTTAATTAATAAAGTATATTTTTTTTTAAAGTTTAATATTAAAAATATTTATTTAGTAATAATTTTGAAATATATTTCTTAAAAGAAAGAATAATTGAAATTTCTTATAAAAATATCTAATTAAAAAAAACTTTTTAAAATTTTCAATTAAATTGAGTGAAAAAACATTTTGGAAACCGAAAGACGGAACAACCACAACTCAAGGGTGTGCGCCTCGAGAGCGATTGTTCAAGGACTCAAGCGGTGCTAGACCCCAAGAGTCCACTACTTTCAATAAATTAATTTAGGAAAACATTTTAAAAACAGATTGAATTAAAACACTTAAAATTTAATTAAGACTAGAAAAATTTGATATTAGCAAAAAGTCAAAATTAATTATTTAATAATCCAATTAATACAAAATAAGATACAAAAATAATAATCTTAACATTAGTCATATAACTCTTCATTAAAACTAATTTCAAAATAGAGCCTAGTTTAAAACACATGCCTACAAAGTTAGCTCTATGGGCAACGTGATCTTAATCAGGAATTAATCATCAGGATATTACCTGCATATTGCTTGCATTTATATAATATAGTCCAACAACATTGCGGACAGCGCGCAATTGGTTCCGGATCTTAAGTTTAGACTTTAAAATCTGCATATAATAGACAACAGCAATCCAAGCGAACACAAAATACGAGCTTCACAAATTCAAAATTGACAAACCAAGGTTGATAACCTTATGCACTTTTTGTCAGTATCACTCAAATCATGATTAAGTGTTAAAAGTCAACAACGACAAACATGTAAAATTAAATTCTTAGAAATACAATCGATACAGGTTGGCTATTCCTTATACTAATATCATCACAGCGCTAAATCACGGGAAAACCGGTGGGAGCAACAACAACAGTATATAATCCAATCATCCCCTTTATCTCAACTCCAATATAATACTTGGGAATAATGTTAAGAATATCAACCACATCAAAATACCACTGTTTCAACATACAAATATAACCAAAAAAGACATGAATGAATCAGTATTAAAAACAAAACCAACTTGACATGAAATGCAGAGACTTAATAAAAGCGAAATAATTAAGCTGCGGTGGATCTTTCGCCGAAAACAAACGAAAGCAAAAACCTGCCCGTGTTCAATGCGGCGACGTACAATTCTGCTTTGAAAATGTGCAGATTCCTGAATTCTCTCTATTGGATGTCGCTTTTGCTACTTCCCGAGCTGTTATTCATGTGTGAGCTATTATTGTGGAGCTGTTTTGCCGTTAGAACCAAATGTCAACCCCGAACATTGTTGTTACAATTTCGTGACGGAAACAGAACGTAGCATAACTTATTGTTATGTGATTGAAGCTCAGCGATGTCATAACCTACACCAAAATCAACAACCTGCACTTAAAATAGAAAAAAAAATCAGAATTTAGCGAAGCAAAATCCACGAAAAAAATCGAATTGAGTTGAAGATGTGTTTGGCTATGTCGTTGCTGTCAACTGAAGAGTGGTGAAATTCATTGTGAACGTAGAACCCTTGTTGTTGTAGTGTTGCTGTTGTAGCTTTATGCTGCCGAGTCCGACAATTCATTGTCGGTGAAACCATTCTGCAGCTCTCATCATTGGATCTCTCGTCAATCCCCGTCGTCCTGCTGCTTAATGATGGCTTTGGCAGCTTCAACAAATTACCGGCGATGTCGCAACCTTTGTTTGTCTTAGCTGCTGAGTTTTGCTTAATCTCACCAGTTTTGAAATTGAAAAATGAAAGCAACAATTCTCAAATAATAAAATCCAGCAGGACGCTTCGGCATGATTTGTCTCGAAACCATGAACACAAATGCTATTAAATCAAGTACATATTAACATAATGAAATAGGGAAGCGAGTTTACTCGTAATCGCATTTAAATCAGAGCCAAATTAGAACTGCAAATAGTCATGTAGTAAATATGCACAAGCTTGATACCATTACCGCAATGCGAGCCCTCATAGTTGAAGAAAAACCATTTGCTGCATCTCATCAATTTTCCCACCATTTCCATATGATCCTATCAAAGAATTCAGCGTGAAAACATCGGGTTGAAAGTTTTCATTTTCAATCATATCTGTCAATGAATTCTCCATCTTCTCAAACATGCCAGCCTTACCATATCCGTCGATTATTGAATTATATGTCACATTGTTTTGCTAATGATAACATGGCAGACATGTCAATTCCATAAACATTGCGCCAAAAGTCGACGCTGTCACTGTATATGTCCGTATGTGTGACAGGAGCTATGTACAACGATGCACTCGAAGGAAGAATAAGACCACCAGGTTTGAGCCAGCGATCTCTGGCAGTAATAACGCTCCCAAGCATGCTCTCATATAGAAGCATATAGCCCATTCATTCTGAAATTATAACATCCACCTCTTCATCAATTTCAACATCCTCAACTCGTCCATGCAATACAATGACAACATCAGAAAGGTCATTTGCTTTAACAACTTCATTTGCCTGCAGAGCAATGTCACTGGCATCAACTGCATACACCCGCTTTGCACCAGCCTGAGCACAAAATATAGAAAGGATTCCTGTACCGCACCCAACATCAACTACAACTTTGCCAACGGTAAGACTTTGATGCCGCATGATTGCTTCCCTATAAGTATCCGTCCTCACACGATCCTTGATCATCTCTTGATGAATATCGAGGTGAGCATAGGAATGAAAATACGCCATATCGTAATCTGTGCAAGGAGATCGATTAGATTGTTGTAGATGTTGAGGTTGTACGGTATCGGAAACCCTAACAAGGGAATTAGAGGTGGAAACACGTGAGCGGCGACTGACACGACGGGCTCTGTCTCTGTTGATGTGATTATGCACCATTTCCGGTGGTGGAGGTGGTGGTTGATGGTGGTAGCCGTTAGTATTGTTAGTATTGTTATCCTTCAAAAACATCGCTCTCACACTTCACTCTCTCTATCGGTGTCTTCTCTCGTTTCCTTATTACAACACAACTGAGTCTCGCAATACAAACATACTTTTTTCCAGCACCTTGTTGAGACTTAACAAGCCTCGTTGCTCTATCAATGCAAACAATCAAATTACCTGTAACTTTGGGATCGAGAGTACCACTGTGACCGGTTTTTTCGACACGGAGAATCCGCTTGATCCATGCAACAACTTCGTGAGAAGAAGGATTAGCTGGCTTATCAAGGTTGAGGACACCGTATTTGAGATAATCGATGAGTGGCCGTTTCAGCGGAGAGTGACCGGCGGGAAGAGGAGTGTAGTGACCGGTTCGGATGTTAAGGCGGTCGTAGTTCTTGAGGAGTATCGGCCACTCTGAAGTGTCGATTGACGATGCCCGTGATCCTGGTTTGATCATGAAGTCAGGTTGGGTTTGTTGCTCCGTTGATTCATCCTCTTCTGCTCCATTTTTGTTGCGGTTCTTCTTCTTCTTGGAGTCTGTGAGGGATGGAGATATCGTCGTGGATAAGGTCATGGCCTCGCCGTTGAAGAAATGGGGTTTAGCAGTGATGGACAGTAGTGATGTAATCGTACGCCATCCTAACTGGGATCTTATGTGAGAAGCATTTGCCTTCACAAGGCGGCTGACTTCCTGAATAATCTGTTCGCAGTAAGCATCAGCAACCCGGGCATGCTGTTATTAAAATCGCAGCAAAGGTAAATTCCGATGGCCTATATCCCAATTCCTGCATCTTGAAAAAAACAGTTTTATGGCTTCATGATTGAACCCTTCAACAAGGCATTAAAAGTCACAGAATCCCTCTCAGGTACATCACTAAACAGGCAACAAGCTAATCCAAGGCTGCCAGTCTTACAGTAAGAGTCAAGAAATGAGTTAGTAACCACAAGCGTCGAATCATAACCCAATTTGATAACATGGGTATGAAATTGTCTCACTTCATTAACAGAATCAAACTCAGTGAACCCAGATAACAGAGTAGCCAAACTGACATGATCCAGGTCGATCCCGTGCCTACCCATCTCAATGAAAAGGCTGAAAGCTTCACGGAATCTATTATCTTGAGCATAGCCACCAATCAACATTCTCCATGTAACAGCAGTCCGTTCAAACATGGAATCAAACAAGGTTATGGCTTTAGAAAGATTGCCAGACTTGATGTAACCCATGATCATGGTGTTGGTGGAGAATATGTTCTTGTGAGGCAATTCGTCGAACAGTTTGCGGGCAGCGATTAAATCCCCGCGTTGGAAAAAAGTCTTGAGAAGGAAATTGGAACAGCATGTGTTGGGATCGAAGCATGTCTTGATGATGGAAGCGTCGACGTGAATGTGAGGTTTTGGAGTAGTTAGCGTGACAAGGTTGTTGAACGCGTTGGGTTCTGGTACGACGTTGTTGTTTGTTGTTGTTGTCTTCATTGCAAAAGAGGGTTGTGGGGACAAAACCAGAAAGTTGATTCATGGAAAGTGACAACGCTTGAAGCTTAGGCATAGTCCCTACCGTAGAAGGTATCAACCCTCCAATGGAATTATCCTCTACGCTCAGGTGCACCATAGAGGAACAGTTGGATATAGAAGAAGGTAATGTTCCATGGAGGTGGTTGTTGTCTAGCCACAGATATTCCAACTGTTGTAAAGCTCCAACGGTAACCGGTATTTGACAGGTGAAATCGTTGTGTGAGAGGTTGATGAGTTGAAGCTGGGACTTGGAGGATAAGTTCCCGGGAATGTCACCGGAGGATGAGTTGGAGGAGAGGTCGAGGAACCGCAGGGAGTTAGAGAGATGGTTAGGGATGGTGCCGGAGAGAAAGTTAGGGGCAAAGTTAAGAATCTGAAGGTTGGTGAGGTTGAGAAGCGAGGGAGGGATGTTACCGGAGAGAGAGTTGTTGTGAAGATAAATGGCGCGGAGGAAGAGACATTGAGAAAGAGAGGAAGGTATTGAGGAGATGAGGTTGCTGGAATGGAGACTTAGTTTGCGGAGTTGTGTGAGGTTTCTGGAGCGAGGACAAGGGGATGAGCGGCGCCGATTTGGGAGAGGGAGAAGAGATGAACAGTGTTCGATTTAGGGTTTTTTTGGGATGAATTGGGGATAGTTAGGGTTGCCCTTCAGAATTAGGGGCGGCCGTTATCTTTAGGGTTAGGGTGAACAGTATCCCCTCCATCCCTAGGGTCTGTAAACAGTAACTTATATAATCCCAAAAAAACTAAACCTAATTCCAAATCTACCGTGTTTTCATTTTTTCAATTTTCTTTTTCTTAAATTAAATTTCTTTTAATTTTAATAAATCTATTTTCTATGTTAATTAATTAAATAAAACTAATTCTAATTTGATTAATAAAAAAACAAATTCTATTCTAATAAATAAATAAATAAACAAATAATTATAATTCTATCCTATTTTAACTAATTAATAATAAAAATGTTAAAACATAAATAATAATAAATAAAAGGATGCCATGTGGTGCAAATTTATTGGGCTAAAAAGAAAATGCCTGCTTTTGCTGAAAAATACGCTACGCTGTATAAGCGAGGTAAATTAAAAACAAAATCGGGCAAATGAGAATTTTGAAAAAAGGTAGGACAAATTTGGGGTATGACACTGAGGACTTTACAGATATTTCTCTTCATTTGAGAATTTGCACTTCAAGAGTTCCATATATTTTACAGCTACAACAAGGAATACTCCTCAAGAATGTATTCCCCAGTTAGTCCGTTACATAAGTCTGATTCTATCAAATGGAATCTCTCCCGAGAAGTTTGGTGAAGATTTTTACAATTGATCTCTCTTTATTTAAGAGGACATGTTTGCAAATCAACCGGCTTGCATATCTTCTGAAGATCCTCGATGAAGTCTTACAACCTCCAGTACATTATGGGTTACCGCTAAAGTATTTGATCTCCAGTGAATTTTCAATCCCCTGTGAAGATGCTCTCCCAAGTATTCATCACTCAAAGAAAGAACTGAGACTCGTTCTTGGCATACAACCTTGAAGCGTGGGGAGGTTTATTTTGGGTTGTTTCCTTTGCTTAGGCTATCATACGTCCGATAGTAGGTAATTTACCGTATCTTTTGGGTTATTACCTTTTGCTTAGGCTATCATACATCTGATAGTAGGTAATTTACCGTATCTTTTGGGTTATTACCTTTACTTAGGCTATCATACGTCTGATAGTAGGTAATTTACCGTATCTTTTGGGTTATTACCTTTGCTTAGGCTATCATACGTCTGATAGTAGGTATTTTACTGTATATTTTGGGTTATCACCTTTGCTTAGGATATCATACGTCTGATAGTAGGTAATTTACCATATCTTTTGGGTTATTACCTTTGCTTAGGCTATCATACATCTGATAGTAGGTAATTTACCGTATCTTTTAGGTTATTACCTTTGCTTAGGCTATCATACGTCTGATAGTAGGTAATGTACCGTATCTTTTGGGTTATTACCTTTGCTTAGGCTATCATACGTCTGATAGTAGGTAATTTACCATATCTTTTGGGTTATTACCTTTGCTTAGGCTATTATACGTTTGATAGTAGGTAATTTACCGTATCTTTTGGGTTATTACCTTTGCTTAGGCTATCATACGTCTGATAGTAGGTAATTTACCGTATCTTTTGGGTTATTACCTTTGCTTAGGCTATCATACGTCTGATAGTAGGTAATTTACCGTATCTTTTGGGTTATTACCTTTGTTTAGGCTATCATACGTCTGATAGTAGGTAATATGTCGTAGCATTTTGGACAGATACCTTTGCTTAGGCTACTCAGATTGGTAGTAGGTCATCTTTCCTCCATGTTACCTTTGCTTAGGCTATCATGTGACTAATAGTAGGTAACGCGCGTTCTTTGTTTCAACTGGATACCTTTGCTTAGGCTACCAGGATCGGTAGTAGGTTATCCTTCAATTTCAAGTTTCTCCCACATTGTTTAAGTTGTTGTACTCTTGGTGGTATTGTACTATATCTGTATTTCGGAGATTCCCCAATGGAGGTTGTTTGCCTCTTTCCCTAGTGGAATCAGACCTTTCCCCGTGGAGTCTCGCTTTGTTGAGCCTGTTTTTCATTGCTCCTATGTTTCTTGTGTGTCGTGTCTAGTTTTTCCCCTATGGCATCATGTCTCCACAGAATCCTCTATCTTGCATTTTCATATCATTTCATATCATGTGCATTCGGTGGTATCTTAGGGCCCAAAATTTGTTCAATGTTTGTATATAAGTCTCTCCTATCGCGTTGAGACAAAGATTTCAATCTCCATATCTCCGGATAGAAGAAAATTAAATAGGGGCATCTGTCACACCCTAATTTTTGACTTTAAGATCTCACCTCTTTGTGCGCTTCTTACGTTGTTTGACTTTATACTTTCGTATTTATGTTTATTGCGACTAACAAGTTTGTGTAGGAATGTCAAGTTGATAATACTGTTTCTCTCAAATTTAAGCGTCTCGGGCTATCTCTGGATCATTTTTGGAAGACGCTTTGTCATTATCGGGATTGGTTAAGGTTACAAGGTCGCATGACATCATTTATAAAAAAAACTAGAAATGTTTATGCTTTGAGTTTTATGATCTTCCAAGGTGTTGCAGTGATATCTTGGTCCGTGCTACAAAGGGTTAAGCTCTGATTATTTTGAAGTGTTCCAGTTACCATTTTAAGTCGTTTTAATGCACAAATCAAATTCATGGTGGAAATGTGGGGGCTTTAAGCGTGTTAGGTTTGACATTCAAGGCAGTTAATATTAAGCTCATAATCAAGACGTTTTTTGGATTACAAGGCAAATCTTCATTAATCAATTTGTTTTACATTATTATTACAAGATACATTTGGGTTACAAAGGTTACTATTATTGTATTTTATTTTTCCGGTTACATCAAGTTTCTAAACTAAATCCTAAGATGTCCTAAGGTCCAAGGATCTTCAAGTCTCTCCTCATCTTCATCATCTTCTGTACCTGCAAAAACGATGGA